ACCCATAGAAATTATTCTTAATCAAAAAAAATTAAAAGGAAGATGGAGATTAAACGAGAATCTAATAAAAAGGGAAGAGGACATAACTAGATATAGAAATCTGATTAACAAATATGCAGAGACAAATAATACCCCAGGAATGCATCAAAATGTGATATGGGATGCCTCCAAGGCTGTCTTAAGAGGTCACTTTATTCAGCACAGCGCCAGGAATAACAGAAACAGACAAAAAGATTTAAAAGATATTATAAGCAAAATAAATGTCAAAGAAAACGAATTGAAGACTAAGCCAGGAAATACAGACATAATTAAAGAAATCGAACTATTACACCAGAAAAAATCCAACATAGAAATAGAGGACCAAGCTAAACAGCTAAAATTCCTAAAACAATATCACTTTGAAAACGCAAATAAATCTGGAAAATGGTTAGCTAAATTAGTCCGAAAAAAGAGACAAGAACAACGAATAGTAAAGATAAAGAAAGGAAAGGAGGAGGCCACATCAGACAAAGGGATATTGGAAGAATTTAAAGAATACTATGAAAAGCTCTATGCGAATGATGGTGTTCCACTCCCTAATATAGTTGAATATTTAAGTAAATTCAATATATCTAAAATCACAGATACACAAAGAGAAGAATTGAATAAAGAAATTACAGAGGAGGAGATTGAGGCCGCAATAAGGAAAATGGATGCGAATAAAGCGCCAGGCCCAGATGGTTTTACTGCTGGGTACTACAAAACATTCAAGAAATAACTCATGCCAATGTTAAAAAAGGTAATGAATGGAGTATTTCAGAACCAGGGAATTCCAGAAACATGGAATCTAGCTGAAATAACAGTTATCCATAAAGAACAATCAGACCAATCAGATGTGCGGAATTATAGACCAATTTCGCTCCTATATGTGGACTATAAAATCTTCACAAATATTCTGGCCCAAAGATTAAAAAACTTCTTGAGTAACTGGATAGGGGAAGAACAGGCTGGCTTCTTACCTAAAAGAAATATAAAGGATAATATGAGAATTGTGGTAGATATGATTGAATATTTCGAAGCCAACCCACAAAAGGAAGTGGCCTTCCTCGCAGTTGATGCGGAGAAGGCATTCGACAATTTGAATTGGGATTTTTTTAAGACCCTAATGAAAGAACTGGATTTGGCTTTCCAATTCATAACTGCTATAGAAGGAATCTATAAGAACCCAAGGGCCAGAATCCAAGTAAATGGACTAACATCCGATGAATTTAAAATAGAAAAAGGCTCAAGACAAGGTTGCCCTATATCTCCCTTGATCTTTATTATGTCGCTAGAAATTTTGATGAAAAAGATAAAAGAAGAGGAAAAGATCAAGGGGGTTAAAATCGGGAAACAAGAATATAAGGCCAGAGCCTATGCAGACGACATAATTGGTATAATAGAAAATCCAAGGGAGAATATCAAAAACTGGTTAGAAACAATTGAAGAGTTTGGAAAGTTGGCCGGATTTAAATTAAACAAAAATAAAACCGTTATTCTAACGAAGAACATGGCAAAGGACAAACAAGAAGAACTAATGAGAATTTCAGGCCTCCAAATCGTAAATAAGATCAAGTACTTAGGCATTTGGCTCACAGCCAAAAACGCTCAGCTCCTCTCTAATAATTACGAAAAACTTTGGGGTGAAATTAGAAAGGATTTGGATAAGTGGAAACATTTAAACCTTTCCCTGTTAGGAAGAATTGCATTAATTAAGATGTCAGTCCTTCCAAAATTGCTTTATTTATTTCAAAACATTCCAATTGTCAGAAATGTTAAGAAATTTAATGAATGGACAAAGAACCTTTCGAAATTCATTTGGAAAGGGAAAAAGGCAAGAATAAAATACCAAGTGCTGATAGATAAGAAGAATAGAGGAGGATTTGGGTTACCTAACTTTAAGCTATACCACGAAGCATGCGCCTTGACTTGGATCAAAGAGTGGATAAAATTGAAGAGGGAAAACCTTCTCACATTGGAAGGCCATGACCTTCGGGTGGGCTGGCATGCCTATGTATGGTATGGAAAAGAAAAAAATGAAAGAAATTTTGGTATCCATTTTATTCGCTCTTCATTGCTTAGAATCTGGGATAGATATAAAAAGTATTTTTACTCAAAAACCCCTCTTTGGACCTCCCCAGTGGAAGCGAAACAGAGAAGGCTGTTGGGCTGGACAAACTGGCCCACATATAAAGAACTTTTAAGACAAGGCTCAACGGAGTTAAAAACCTATGAAGAAATAAAACAAAACTATCCAAGGACTATGTGGCTGAACTACTTACAAATAAAAGAGCAGTATAATCAAGACAAAAGGCTAGGCTTTCAACTTAAAGAAGAATTCTGGGATAAAATCTTAAAAACTGAGACAAAATGCATCACAAAATTATATGATAAGCTGTTAGATTGGTCCACTGAAACAGAACTGATAAAAAATTGCATGGTAAAATGGGCGGAGAATTTTAAAAAACCAATAGCAATGGTGGACTGGGAAATAATATGGAACAAAAAATTAAAGTACACTTATGCCACTGATTTAAAAGAGAATTGGATGAAAATGTTCCATAGATGGTACATGACACCAATCAAACTAAATAAGATGTATAAAGAAGCATCAAAGATCTGTTGGAAATGTAACGAACACGATGGAAGTTTTTTCCACCTTTGGCGGAGTTGTGAAAAATCTCAAAAGTACTGGAAAGGGATACACGAAGAAATGCAGAGAATATTTAAAAAAAAATTTCCTAGGAAAGCTGAATATTATCTGTTGGGAATTACGGATGGAGATATATGTTTAGACTCAAACGAAGATATTTTATTCTTCTACCTGACGACGGCTGCTAGAATTGTCTTCGCGCAATTATGGAAACAGATAGAAGTACCGGAAAAATTTAAGTGGGTAAAGAAAATAAACGAAATTAAGGACATGGACAAGCTAACTTTCTTATTAAAAAAGAATACAGGCAACCCAATAAAACAAACAGATTGGACAATAATAGAAGACTATATTGAAAATAGGTCCAAGGACAAGTAATCAAAAGGAAAGGTAACAAAACCTTAGAAGGTAGAATATATCGAAAAAGATTGACAAAAAGACAATATACGGGCAGAGCCGGAAGGAGGTCCAATTTTTTGTGATTTTTTTTCTTTCCTTTTTTTATTTTTATTTTTTTTATTGTGTGATTTTTCGTAGTTTTTGGTAAAAATTTTTTTTTCTTTTCTCTTTTGAGATTGTTGTTGTTATTTCTATCTAATACTTTCTTTCCTACTTTTCTATCTTCTTTATATTATTCTCCCTCTTTCGTTGTAGTTTATAATAATCTAATAAAAATTTATGGTGAAAAAAAAACAAAAAAACTTTGAACTTAGGGTCACCCTAAGTCTAAAACAACGTAAAGGCACACAACAACAACAATCCTAATTAACCTGAGTATCTCATCAGCCAAAAGGAGGCCCATACTTCCCACTGAAATACTGGTAAATTTTAGGCCTGGGTAACAACGGAAAAATTTGTTTCTAAAATCGATTTGTATTTGGGGGGTTTTTTTGTTTCGATATTTAAAATAATTACAAAATTTTCCTTTTAAAAAGTTCGATATTTACGAAATTTCGTAAAGGGTAAAAAATTAACGAATCGATTTCCGAAACAAAATCGATTCGTTAATGGCGGACGCGACCGCGAAATACGCTAAAAAAACCTCCAAAACCTTCTGAAGCTTCCCTCTCCCTCTGTTGTTGACTGTTGGTGTGATATTATAATTTTTTTCACTAATTAAACCATAAAACTGGCCCAGACATGCGGAAATAATAACGAAACGACCTCAAAACAATAACGAAACGAATACAATATCAAAATACGAAGCATTTACAAAACGTTTTTGAAAATTCATTTTTTTTAATAATTGCTCCAGAATGGTTCGTTATCGTTTTGTAATTGAAAAAATTAACGAATTATTAACGAATTACGAATTAACGAAACGAAACCGCCCAGCCCTAGTAAATTTATATTGGCTAAAATTGTTCTTCATTTTAAATATTGTATTGTTCTTTCAGGGGTTTTTTGCACTGCAAATAAGATGTGTGCAGTGTGCATAGGAATTCGTTCCATGTTTTTTTCAAGCTGTAGTCTGCCCCCCCCCCCCGCCCCACAGCAGTCTGAGGGGCCATGAATTGGCTCTCTGATTAAAAGGTTTGAGGGTCCCTGCAGTAGGTTGACATTTCCACCCCTTTCCCAAGAGTAATCTCTGGTGCAAAAGACAATTATGACAAGGATGCTACTTATGACTGTCATCTGGAAATCACTTAGGGGTGGATGGGAAGATGGAGCAGCAGCCCACCCCACGGCCAGAACAGAGCATAGCCTCCAAGATGCTGAAGATGGGAAAGACTATATATACCTCTATCTATGTATAGTTGTCTGTCTTGTCATAAACAGCACTGAATGTTTGCCATATATGTGTTCTCTGATCTACTCTGAGTCTCTTTCAGGGTGAGAAGGGAAGAATATAAATACTGTATATAAATAAATAAACTGCATCCCAAATAATTAGACCACAGATTCCAGTTGCTTGCTGCAATTGCTGACCAGCAAATCCAGATTGTGATATCATGATGGTAGACACTGCTTACCCACGGAATAAAGATAATGAAAAGCATTTCCATCTCTAGCTTATCACTGATCGTCCTAGTCTTCGTGAATCGTTCTTTTAAAGCACCATAACGTGGCGATCTTTGGTACCCCTTCCATTGCAAATTCCAGGGGAATGGAACATGCTATGAATAAGTATGTATTCTACAGGACTGATGGCAGGACTATCAGATGATATTAACTTCAAGAAGAAGGAGGCCAAGATACCAAAGTATTTTCCCCAAACTCCAGGCAGCAGGTTAAGAGGAGAGAGGTTGACTTGCCCAAGGCCAGGCAGATTTTCATTGCTAAAGAGCTCTCTGCCGCTTATTTCTCCACATCCACATCTGCACATAGGTCTTTAAACATTTATTTTATTAAAATATTTATGTTGTTTGGTCCTCTGTTGTGGGTTCTCAGGGTAGTGTACAAATAAAAGCAATTAAGAACATTTTAAAACAATTTGAAATGTAAACAGTAGAAGATCAACAAAATAAAGGCATATCAAATAATTTGACAAGTCAAAACAAAACCGTTTAAAAATCAGACACAAGTTGAAGTCATTAAGTGTCAAAAGTCTTTAACCATTAAGAGTGTTTAAGAATAAATGGATTCCAAGATTGAAATCAGGGTTTCTTGACCTCAGAGCTTGAATCCTCTTCTCCAGTCTCTTCCGTGAGGCGAAAGAATCTCAGAACAGCAGTACTGCCTTGTAAAGCATGTCAATATATAAGCACACTTTTAATAGACTTGGTATCTGGCATCTTATTAAGTTAGTAACAATATACTTACAACTGTATAACTATTTCACATTTGCACGCATGGTACCATTGCCATACAAACCTGTCTACCTTAAAAGCCAGCCCATCATTCCAAATACAGCGATTATGCTGAGTGAGAGGCAGTCAAATGATGTTTCTCTCACCAGAAACAGAGCTGTGACTAGACTTTGCAGGGGTTCCTGTTGGCACTGTCACTCACCAGTGGGGGAGGCTTGTGACATAATCCAAAGCATCCAACAAAACTCCATTGCTTAGGATGGCAGACTGACTTCCAAGGTGGGTTTCAGGGTTGGATCAGAACATGAAGTGTAACTATACCACTGATGGAGAATCTCATTTGAGGGTTTTTCATCTGACTAGCCTACTTTGTGCAGTTGTGATGGCTGTCTTTTGTAATATCATCCTTATAACATGACCAGTGCTAGCCTCCTGAGAATTACAACGAGTCAATTGTAGGCCTGAAATCTCAAAGTGTGGAATGGTCCTGACTTGACAAGCCTTGTCAAGATCCAACAGCCACCAGAGCATCAAATCTCTACCATTGTATGTATGGCATTCCCCCAAGGTTGTTATTTCAACCATTTTATTTTGCTGTACTGTAATTTTGGGCTTGGCCTCTTGTTAGCTGCCCTGAGTCCCCTTTGGGGAGATGGTAGCGGGGTACAAACAAAATTTATTATTAGTATTAGTGGTCCTCCTTCCCTCTCAGCTTCTTCTCTGGACATGCAATAGGACAGAAGACAGATCACAGGATGGAGATGCTTCCTGAAGGCTCCCATCTGCTGTTGCAAGCCCAGGGCAAGGGGAGTTGCACAATGAGGTACTGGATACCTCCTTCCATAATCTTCATAAAATTAAGTACATAGATGTAACTAGGGCTACTGTATGTCAGCATGGCAGACACAGGAATCCACCTAGATCCTCCATGCTATCTGCTATAATGGATCCCTGTATAATAATAATTAGCTTTGCAGTTGATGATATGAGTTCCAAAAACTGCAACAAGCAAGGGGGAAAAACAAATATGCAAACAGTGGTATAGCAGATCTAGGGCTAGCAAGGGAAGCACTATTTTGTTTTGTTTATAAGCCCAGTACTTCCTGTGTCCTCCTATGCAAATTTCTCTGCTGTCTCTCAATTCTGAGGAAAAGAAATGATTTCCCAGCCATAATATACCATTATATTGGTTGCATTTTTAGACTTTCTTTGGAGAATGGCTATGGGGGTTATCATGGTTTACTCCAAAACTCACTGCCATGCCATTGATACAAACCACATATCTACTGGTCTATGTTCCACTTCAAAACTGCTGTGTGATAGTGTTAATGGTGCCCGAATATAATCATAAGATAACAAATTGAGTGATTATAGAGCAGGGGTCCTCAAACTAAGGCCCAAGGGCCGGATACGGCCCTCCAAAGTCATTTACCCGGCCCTCGCTCACGGTCAACCTAAATCTGAAATGACTTGAAAGCACACAACAACAACAGCAATCCTATCTCATCAGCTAAAAGCAGGCCCACACTTCCCATTGAAATACTAATAAGTTTATATTTGTTAAAATTGTTCTTCATTTTAATTACTGTATTGTTTTAAGTGTGTTTTGTACTACAAATAAGATATGTCAGTGTGCATAGGAATTCATTCATTTTTTTTTCAAATATAATCTGGCCCTCCAACAGTTTTAGGGACTGTGATCTGGCCCTCTGTTTAAAACGTTTGAGGACCCCTGATATAGACAGTTCCCTATATGATGCCACCTGCATGACTCCTAGAAACTCATAGTTAGCACAACCACTAGCAATGCTAGCCAGAGTATTCAGAAAATGTAGTCCCCCTGGCCCCAAAAGTCTCTCTAAAAATGCTTTTGAAGTCCATGGCTCATGCTGACTGAAGAAACCTGGGTGTTGAAGTCCAAAAAACAACTGTTTAAAGCTCAGAGCTTAACAGAGGTTAAGTGTGGTGGAGGCTCCTTTATTGGAGGCTTTTAAGCAGAGGCTGGATGACCATCTGTCATGGGTGCTCTGGGGGCAATTTTCCTCCTTCTTGGCAGAGGGTTAGACTAGATGGCCCTTCCAACTCTATGTTGGAACTCTAAGTCTCTTCCAACTCTATGATTCTATGATCCTCCTCCCAATCATGGGCGGTGGCTAGTTTTTTGCATGATAGACAAAGGAGAGTCCAGTTTGTGAATGTCAATGAATATCATTCACATCTGAAAATTGCTACACCATGTAAACAGAGCCCTACCTCTTTCTTTTTTCCTCCTTGAGCCACTTAATCCAGAAAGTTATTACCCGGGTTCTGCAGATATTTTCCTTGTTAGATTAATAGAATTCCATAAATTTTCTGGAAATGGTGCCCAGAGGGTATATCACTGTTTTTATTTGACTGCATTATGTAAGTTAATCTCCCTTGGCTCCTGTTAAAAGAAAGAAATTTAATCAAGGTCTTTTAATAATTTAATTGTAATAGGTAGTTTAATGAAAAGAACATTAAGAATTTAAACTTAAGAGCCTGATATGAATTATTTTCCGGACAACATATATCAAATAGTTATAGATATATCTATTTAGGCCTAAATACCTTAAAGGCACCAGATCTTGTCTAATCTTGGAAGCTAAGTAGGATTAGCTCAGCGTATGACTTGAATGGGAGACCATCAATTAATACCAGTTACTGTAATTATATTTCAGAGAAAGGAACTGGCAAAACTATTTCTGAGTATTCTGATGGTATTACAAGACTGATGTTGGAAAAGTCACCCCCTTGGAATGTAATTAAACATGACTCACTATAAAAACTATCAAGATTAATACATATTTGTATATTGTATATACGATGAAACTGTGGCAAAATGCCCATCCCCACCTCACTGCTAGCAACTGCACTAGGTAGCATGATTTTGATCTAGAAAGCTCTATACAGCTTAGGTCCAAACTATTTAAAATCCTGTATCTCCCCATAATTTTCAGGAGGGGACTTTCTCTCCATCCAATTAATTTCTCAGACTCAGAAGTTACAACTTCTGTATGCCATATTGCTTTAGTTCTATTTTCATTTAAATTATATACCGCTTTGAGTCCCATTTGGGAGAAAAGCAGGAAGTCAAATAAACAAATAAATAGGATGATGTGTTGTCGAAAGTTTTCATGGCCAGAATTACTGGATTGCTCTGAGTTTTCCGGGCTGTATGGCTATGTTCCAGAAACATTCTCTCCTGACATTTCACCCACATCTATTGAAGGCATCCTTAGAGGTTGTGAGGCCTCCTAGGTCATGTGGATGGCATGACTGCATGGAGTGCTGTTACCCTCCCGCCGAAGGGGTACCTATTGATCTACTCCCATTTGCATGTTTTTGAATTGCTAGATTGGCAGAGACTGGGGCTAACAACAGGAGCTCTTCCCATCCCGTGGATTTGAACCTCACAATTTCTGAGGATGCCTGCCATAGATGTGGGTGAAATGTCAGGACAGAATGGAACATAGACATACAGCCCAGAAAATTCACAGCAACCCAAATAGGATCGTGTTTCCAGTTCTCTTTCAACAGCAAGCAAGGCTGTGGGGATCAGAAGTTGTATTCCAATCATAATTTCTCATTGTAGTTCTCCTTTTTGGTGAATCCATTCATGGAAAATCCATCTATTTTGCACTCTGCTCATTGTGACTGCTGGCTTTTAAGGTGAACTTAGGAGATCAAGGCCAGGAGATGTTACTTAATTACATACATATAACTAAATAACTGTTCAAGAAGATGGTTGAGCTATTGCATAAAATAGTGGACGAGGTACTAAAGTTAAGGGACAATCCAGGGAGGAGGGGTTCACCCTGAAATGGCACCGCATCATAGATTGTTTCTGATTATCAGTATCTCACTGATACTGATACTGTATCTCACTGGAGGGAAGGATATTAGAGACAAAGATTAAGTACTCTGGTGACAGAATAAGAAGACAGGAAAGCTTGGAGAAGACGATGATGCTGGGGAAAATGGAAGACAAAGGAAGAGGGGGCAACCAAGGGCAAGATGGATGGATGGTATCTTTGAAGTGACTGGCTTGACCTTGAACGAGCTGGGGGTGGCTACAGCCGACAGGGAGCTCCAGCGTGGGCTGGTCCATGAGGTCACGTAGACTCGGATGTGACTGAATAAATAAACAACAAACAGTATCTCGTTCACTGTTTTATGCAATAGTTCATCCATCTTCTATATCTTCTATTATAACTGTGGACTGTACCACTCCAGACTACAAGTGGAAGAATCACGATTGAATGTCTAACCCAGCATAATTATTTGCAGACCAGCCAAAAGGTTGCAGTTACACAGTAGCATACAAAGACATTCAACCTTCTACCATCTTAGATGGCATAAATGAAACAGTAAATATATTTACAGATATAACACCTAAAAAAGCAAGACCTTTCCATTATTGACAGCAACCATCCTGACATTGTGCTTTGTTATCTTATAGAGGAAATTCTGGGGTTTGAAAAATTTTATCTATGTAAAAAAAAAGGTCAGATTTCAAGAATCTAAAATCACAGACATCACTATAATTACCAAAAAAGAAATAAGACCACCGTCTTTAAGTGCAAAATATTTCCGATTATAACGGCACAAATAATGCTCACAAGTTGACATTTGATCAAATCCAACATCAAGCCACAAGGGTGTACACGTATTTTCTATCTCTGGAAAAAAAAACACAGAAAGAATGAATGTCACTGTGATTCATTTGCAAGCAAATTGTGCAGCATACATACAACAAGCTACAGTTGGCATTTAACTGCCTTGGGCCTAAAGGGGAAGAGGCAGAGGGAGGTAGAGAAAGCCCAAGTTAAAAAGAGAGAGTGAGAGAGAGAGAGAGAGAGAGAGAGAGAGAGAGAGAGAGAGAGACAGTAGGCGTCAGTTCACTGATGAAAGAAAAATAAGCCACAGCACTTCACTTTTGTCTTATTTTAAAAACTGTGATTGATGCTCTGACATTTGGTAATTAATAAAGTATCATTTAATTTCATCTGTTTTGAGCACTTCAATCAAAATGATTTCCTTTTCTCTCTTCTTTAAAGTAGAAAATCCTGTTTTGCCTCATGGGACTGCTCAACACCAGGGGTGGCAATTGGATGATCTTTCAGATGATACTGAACTACATTTCCCAGCATTCCCTACCACTGGCTATTCTGAAGATTAGAGAGATTGGCCAAAACTAACAAAATAAAGTTCAACAGGGACAAATGCAAGATACTCCACTTAGAAAAAAATGAAATGCAAAGATACAGAATGGGGGACAATGCCTGGCTCAAGAGCAGTACGTGTGAAAAAGATCTTGGAGTCCTCGTGGACAGCAAGTTAAACATGAGCCAACACTGTGATGCGGCGGCAAAAAAAGCCAGTGGAATTTTGGCCTGCATCAATAGGAGCATAGTGTCTAGATCCAGGGAAGTTATGCTACCCCTCTATTCTGCCTTGGTTAGACCACATCTGGGATACTGTGTCCAATTCTGAGCACCACAATTGAAGAGAGATGTTAACAAGCTGGAATGTGTCCAGAGGAAGGCGACTAAAATCATCAAGGGTCTGGAGAACAAGCCCTATGAGGAACGGCTTAAAGAGCTGGGCATGTTTAGCCTGCAGAAGAGAAGGCTGAGAGGAAACATGATAGCCATGTATAAATATATGAGAAAAAGTCATAAGGAGGAGGGAGCAAGCTTTTTTATGCTGCCCAGGAGACTATGACCCGGAACAATGGCTTCAAACTTAAAGAAAGATTATTCCACCTGAACATTAGGAAGAACTTCCTGACTGTGAGAGCCGTTCAGCAGTGAAACTCTCTGCCCTGGAGTGTGGTGGAGGCTCCTTCTTTGGAAGCTTTTAAACAGAGGCTGGATGGCCATCTGTTGGGGGTGCTTTGAATGTAATTTTCCTGCTTGGCAGGGGGTTGTACTGGATGACCCATGAGGTTTCTTCCAACTCTATGATTCTATGAGTTGCAGACCAAAAACATATGGAAGGCTGCACAAATCCCACACTTTAGTATAAATAAACATAATGTGTGGGGTGAAAGATCTCTCCAGATGCTGGACTTCAGCTGCTTCAATCAGCTGGAGCCAGTCCACTTATATCTTTCACTTCAGATCTATCTATTCCAGTGGTTCTCAACCTATGGATCCCCAAATGTTTTGGCTTTCAACTCCCAGAAATCCTAACAGCTGGTAAACTAGCTGAGATTTCTTGGAGTTGTAGGCCAAAACACCTAGGGACCCACAGGTTGAGAACCACTGATATTTTGAAAATATACACCACTCATGTACTTTCTGGAACTTTCCAGGAACAGGTACTGGAATTCAAGGATCTCAAGCAGGATACAGGTTTCCCTGCTTTGTTTTCAGAAAATATTTAAGAACATCCTCAAGTAAGAATTTGGTTGCTAATATTTTCTTATAATCAAAAATGATATAAAGCATAGAGCCACTCTTGAATACCTCAGCAAGCAGGAGTCCAAAAGTGGCAGGCTAAAACCCAGAACCTCAGTCAATGGCTGATAACAAATGAGAGATTCCTTCCTGGGCACACGGAAACTGGGCGACTTGGAAGGTGCTGAACAGACTGTGGTCTGGCACCACAAGATGCAGAGCCAACCTTAAGAAATTGGGCTACAGTGGAATCCACAACATGTGAGTGTGGAGAAGAGCAAACCACAAACCATCTGCTGCAATGCAACCTGAGCCCTGCCACATGCACAATGGAGGGCCTCCTTATAGCAACACCAGAGGCATTCCAAGTGGCCAGCTACTGGTCAAAGGACATTTAATAGAATGCAAAGTTTTCAAACTTTATTTTTTTTAATACAACTGTTTGGTTTGCTCCTAATATGATGAATAAATAAATCTTATAAAGTGATTGATAGTCAAAATTGGCTCCATAGGTCTCTGGTCTGATGGCCTCTTGGTGGCCTTAGCAGTGGTATCTCTCTCTGCAGTGGTGATAAATCCATGTAATGTTTGCCTAGCTTTGACTGAGCTATCCATGGTGCTAAAATTATTTAGAAATTGGGTTCATTGCTTTGGATAACCCCCATAAAACCAGGCTTGGATTCACCACTATATTGACATGGGATCCAACTTCCACCTTTGAGCAAGAATACTCTGTCCCTTCCTCTGCAATGTACAGGCAGTCCCCAAGCTGTGAACATGATAGGCTCTGTAGGTTTGTTATTAATTTGAATTTGTATGTAAGTCGGAACAGGTACATTTTAAAGTATAACTCCACCTCCATATCTATCTATCTATCTATCTATCTATCTATCTATCTATCTACCTACCTACCTACCTATCTATCTATCTATCTATCTATCTATCTATCTATCTATCTATCTATCTATCTCAATCATTTGGATAGCACAGAGGCTCCAAAGCCTCAGTCACCTTAGTCCTACCTTGCCTTGGGCAAATACAGTCCACTATCCATTTCTTCCTGAGCAACTCAATCAGCAGAGATGGGGAATAGGAGAAGGGTGTAGTGTCAACAAATTTTGACCATGGCCAACACTGCCTTCATTTCCTGACAGGTCTTCCCTGAGGAAATGTGGCCCTCACTTTTTTCAGTTTCCCATTTTCTGAAACAACAGCACCTACCTTGGATTACTCAGTGTGACATTTGCCAAGCTGTAGCTTGAGGATTCCTCTTCCATGGAGCTGGAGAATTTGGTTATACTCTTTGGGCATTGCGTGAAATCCAGGCTTAGGTAGCTGGTTGTCATAGTAGTGGTGGCTTATAGGATTGCCTGCTATGCTTTTTGAGAAAGGCCAGAAGCCATATAGCTTCACGTTCTCACACAGTTCCACAGCAGCACTGGTGATCATAAAACCCGATGACAACCGGTAAGCTTTGACGCCCTTAGTCCTCCAGAACTGAGCTAGATTTTTTAGGTATCTGGGGTAGAAAAAGATGGCCTTCTGCTTTGCGCTGAACTCTCTCAGAGTGTGGTGTACTTTGAACGAAGTGGCAGTGTTGCTCCTGAAGGAAAAAGCTGGTAACAAAAGGAATGCGTCTCCATAGCTTGCAATGTTTTCCAGGAAAGTGGCTTTCTTTTCATTCAGTTTATTATACCTGCAAACATGTAAAGACTTAGGAACATACTTAATGGATACCAAAACATGCTGGGTATGATTAAGTGGCATCTAATATTGATCCCCAATATTAAGGGGAGTTCCCTAAAGTAGCAATTGCTATGGAGTGCCAATAATCAATATGCCAATTCATATTCATGCCAATTTATGCAATAGTGATATTCAAATAAGAGTTTGAGATGGCACACATGGTTCTCCCCTTGCCATTTACCTTCCAAACAACCCCATGAAGACTGACAGAGGAGGTGATAGGTCCAAGGTCAGCCAATAAGTTTCAAGTCTCAATGGGAGAACCTGGATTTCCCAATTACAGTATTACATAGTGGCTCATGTGGTAGACTAGGACTCTGGTAGATAAGGAATTGAATCCCCATTAGGCCATGGAAACTCAGTTTGACTTTGGCCATGTCACATCCTCTCAGCTCAAAGAAAGGGTGAAGCATTCCCCTCTGAACAAATCTTGCTGTGAAAACTCCACGACAGGTTTACTCTAGGGTTGTCAAAAATGACTCAAAGGCACACAGCAACCAGCTTCCAAATCCCAGACCAACAGCAGGAGGTTGGACAAAGCTGGTTTAGATGAAGGCTGTAATTTTGCACCACTATTCTTTCCTCACAGCTAAGAGCTTGTGAGGCCAAAGAGCAAAGGGCCATTGTATTTACTTCCACACAGAAAGCTTCCCCTCTTTCCAAAAGAACGAGCAGCTTACGGGCTTTCAATCTGCATTAGCTGGCCTTTTAAGGGGAAACTTGGGACTACTAATGAAGCAATTGGAATTCAATAGCAATGATGGTGGCATGCCAAGGAGTTTCTAAATTGGAGAACCAAGCAATTAAGCACAAGTCGCAAACAACACTGCAGTCATACTCACTTCTGAGCTATGATGCTCGGGTTGACAGTCACAAGGTTTGTCTTATTGCCCACATCTTGACTGACACTTCCCTCAGTCGGGGGAAGATTACACCTGCAATTTGACAAGAGGCAAACATTATTTTCCTTATAACCTTTCCATATCTCTCAGACAATCAAAGGTACATCAATTTAGTCTGATATCAGAGGCTGCAAGCCTAGAGCATCCTTTCCAGGAAGAAAGGCTCATTGGTAATGCTGGGAATGTCTTTCTGGGTGCAAATGCACACCATGGCTCTGAAAAGATCTTCTGCACAACAATTAACCTTCCAAATTGCATTGTGCAGTAACTTAGAGTGTTTGCTGACAGGGGCTGTAATAACAGCCATGGATTTACATAGGTTCCAAGGGGAGGAGGGTGATTAACCAGTTATCTGGAAGATTTTGGGCATTGTAGTAAAAAGTTACATTTCCAAACTTTGATATTAAAAATTAGAATTTAACAGAGGATGACCCACCTGAAGAGGATTTGGATGGAGGAAGATATCTACCTCCATCAACAGAGGTAAAGACTATGTCAACCCTGGAGGCCCCAGTTCCAGAAACCAAAAGCTTTGAAGGGTACACCTTGTACCAAACTTTCTGCTGCAAGTATTATCTTCCAAAATAGAGCATGTAATGATTAGCACTAGGACCAGTCTTGGATTCTCTGCAGCCCCAGTACTAAATGGGAACAATGGTCATGCCAGCTATCATTATCCTCTAAAAATGCCATGCAGGTAATAGTTCCATTCAGCACACTTATGCATATTTTGGAGAACATTTCTGTTTCTCAGAGTAGATAGAAAATCTACCTTTTAGGAGAAAACACTTTGCAGGGGGAATTTCAAATGTGTCTGGCATCAGGAAATATGACTGCAAGAGAAGGGGAAGGTAACTTTCAAAATACACAACCCAATCATTCTCCTTCCCACAGCTTTTTGTCAGGGGGGAAAGACAAATAAGGGATGGATAAGGGATGCAATTACAGAGATGTAAAGAAGTATGCTACTTGCTCAGTACACTATACTTGAACTGCAAAAGTAAAAAATGAATCTGTTCTACGAGTTTCTTCCTTTTCTTCCTACAATTGTCTTAATCTCAACTAGATTCATTGCATCAATGGGGATTTGAAAAGGCAACACTTAGGGGAGTTTCATTGATTTAGTTCACCACACTAGTTGTACTGAACAACAGAAGGTGCATCTTCCCCATTTGTTCCTTACGTCATGCACTCACTCACCTAAATACAAAGTCTGATTTGTCAATCTCAGCTCCGCAGTTGGAGTTCTTCAGAATCCCACCATTACCAACCACTGCACATTGTTTGAAGGGATAATCCAGAGGCTGTGACTAAAAATAAAAAGAGGGAAGCAGTGTTAACTGCTTAGCAAAATTTCAGCCAAAATGGAGTCAGGCGCTGTGGGTACATTGCCCAGCCTACTTGCGCATTCTCTCCTCTACAGCTTCTGTCACATCCTGAACATCATTTCCAAAAAGCTACAATGCAGGAGGAAAGGGCGGAAGAGAGGGGCAGTAGAGAGGCAGACTGAATTGAACTAAAATTGGGCAAAGGGATGTTGAGGGAGCAGTTCTATACCTGATTTGGGACAAAACCTATTTATTCATTTATTTATTTACTGCATTTGGCAGAGGCAACTCAAGGCGGTTCACAGTTGGCAGCGATTGGATGACATAACAAATATCAAAATACAGTTAAAACAATTATAAAAGCAATTCAACATTTAAAATGTAATATAAAAAGCAAATATATACCAATCTCTCATTACAGCACTATAAAATTTCTTGTGGTCTTTAAGTCATTTTTGACTAATGATGATACCTTTGTGGTGTTTTATTGACAGAATTTATTCAGATGCTTATCTTCCTCAAAATCTGAGTGTGACTTATCCTGGTCTCCCAGTTCAACATTTAACCATTACACTGTGCCAGCTCACTCATTATAAAATACAGACCAAAATATTTGGTCACCATCCACCCACAGGAAAGAGTATAGCGGTCAAAAGGAAGGAGGAGTGGAAGAGGAAATTTGGTGGCATGAATTGTCTTCTGCTTGACTACTATCCAGAACACTTGAAAGATCAAACATATTCTATATATGAGGCCATAAAAATGGTGTGCTCCTTACCTCAGGCAGCATTTTGAATATTTCCTCTGTGATATGAATGGTTTTCTTATTGTCCACTTCATAACTCATATTGCTTCCCAGTGGGGTATTGTTTTGAGAAGAGATAAAGTTGTGGATGGCATCACAGCATGAAGTGAGTTCTGACCTGAAAAACAAAATACAGAAGATCATTATAGTGAATTGTTGTTTTAAAAAAGAGAAATTCACAAAAGAATGAGAAACACAGCTAGCTCCTTCTTTATATTGATGATGATGACAATTTATGACTGGTTCACATCTAACATACATTATTGAATGGAATTGTTTTACCATTACTAGCTCTGATACTATCCAATAATTTGGGAAGCAGTGAGAGATTATGGGATTATTTGGCCTATTCCAAATAATGTCAGCATTTCTAAGTATGTTATTGTGATCCTGTTCCTGATAATTCAGATATTTTGTCAGACATGCTACATCAATGTCAGCATGTCTGCTATTTTTAGGAAACATGTTTTCCAATCAAATCCTCTTAAATTGTCAAAAGTTGGCTGGATGACCAGGAAGTGGGGGTTGGGAGGGGGAATAACATCCACTGCACCTGTTTCCTCCTTCCCTTTTGTGTACAGGCAGTCCCCAACTTGTGAACAAGATAGGTTCTGTAGGTTTTTTCTTAAGCTGAATTTGTTTGTAAGTTAAAACAGGTACATTTCTAAGCATAACACCAAACATATAAATATATGGCCACAAAGGTACACACACACACACACACTGGTTACATCCTACTTGGACTACTGTAAAGTGCTCTACATGGGCCTGTTCTTGAAAAATATCCAGAAACTTCAATTGGTCTAGAGAACAGCAGCAAGGTTAATCACCTGTGCCGATTCCAGGGAGCACACCCCAACCCCTGCTGAAACAGCTCCACTGCTTTGCAATTTGTTTCTGGGCCCAATTCATGGTGCTGGTTTTAACCTATAAAGCCCTGCACACAAGCCCGTAGCCAGGATTTTGATTCGGGGGGGGGGCGGGGGCGGCAATCAGGATCTACCCTAGCAAACCTTTTGTATCATTATCCCAATACTCCCATGGATATGGGATATAGTGAGCATTGTAATTAGATCATGATATGAATAAACGTAACTGTTTAAATAATGTATCAGTAAGGCCTTCTCGCGGACCACCTTGAGAATTTTGGGGGGCGGGTGCTGAAGCCCCTCCTAAGGATAGATTTCCCTCACTTCTTGTTGTCTCACCCCCCACTTTTAACTTTGAGTCATTGTAAGTCAAATGTTTGTAACATGGGGACTGCCTGTACAATGGGAGGAAAATACAAGAAGATCCATGTGACTTCAGAACCCATATCTGCAGTTTCCCTTAACCAAGCCTGGGGAAAATGGTCCCTAGGAGTTTGCAGGCTCTTTCAGATGATTCTATGGTATGCTTCCCTGAACGTGATCAGAATGTTCCCCTGGAGGACGCAGCATGTTCCTAGAGATGATACTTCTTTAGGAATGCCTAACTCCACCAGAGCAATTGTGTGGTATGATGGGACTGTTAGTGTTTATACAATGGATTTCAACAGGGCTTATTCCCAAGTAAGCATATGTAGGACTTTAACCAATCATGGAAAGAAGCCAGTCGAAATAAACTAATAAACTTGGAAGTGGATAGAAATGTTTTCTAGTTAGAAGAAAACTCTATTTTGCTTGCAATGAATATTGCATTCATTTGGTTTTTCATTTGTGCCATAACGGCAGTGAGGAATACGATCCAAGGTAAGCATTACTTCAGTAAGCCATGAAATTGAACTCATGAAGTTGATCATTTGAATGCACTCCATGTCTGAAGTCTAGCTTTTGGGCCTCTTTGGCATTATTTCCATTTTAAAGATGCATTTGATTCTACTTAAGAGAGGCAAATACTTTTTGTCAAACATCCAAACATCAGAGGGAAAGCTCTTTTGGTGGATATAACATTCATTAGCAAAAATGGTGCATGCTTCTGCTTTATTGCTCTGACCATAAAAAGAAATGCTTCAATATAAGCAGATCTGTCTCATATTATAACAAAAAACATGGCTAATAAAAACAGAATTTATTGTTGTTGGGTGCCTTTACTTCACTTCCAACCCAAGGCAGCCCTAGGACAGACTTTTCTTAACAAGCTTTGCCATTGTCTTCTTTTGAAGGCTGAGTGAGTATAATTTACTCAAGGTTGGCTAGTGGGTTTTATGGCCCAGTATGGATTCATACCCTAGTGCCCAAAGTCATAGTCCAATGCTCAAACCACTACATCATACTGGCTCAGTTTAATGTTATGGTCAGCTAAAGTGGTTAGAGGCAGCCAGGTAGTATAATATCCATTCAATGCATTAGTGACACACATGAAACAATAAAACAGTATTTTAAAGGTATTGATATTTCTCCCTTGATAGATCAATAACAAAAACTGCTGATGCTGTTGTGTATCTACAGTTGTATCTAATTTCTTTATATCCAATGAGCAGTTTTTCACCTAGGTTCATTTCATACAATTCACAAGCCACTATTCCACTCAGTGTTTTGAATATAATCAAAGATTATCATTTGTTATAGAGCTTAATGCGTGAAAAATGCCAATGGCAGTGAAATCATCATTAAAATAGGCTCAGACTAAGAATGCCACCCTTATTAAACAGTGTGATTTTCATCTGATAGTAACCTGTCTGGGCGACATCACAGCAATTCCACTGTTCACAGTAGAACAACACAATCTAACGAGCAAATATCTTTATTCATGCCCTTTCTACTTTTATAGATTTAGGGCTCTCACAGCTGGATGACTCATAATTCTTGAAATTGGCCTTGGACACTGAAGCCACATAAAGTTGTACTGCATTACTGCAACTGAGACAGGATTTTTATATTTGGCATGCAAGTTAAAGAAGCTTGATTTCCTCCCTGGCTAGCCCAAAGCATTCTATCAAAAAAAACTTAATAGTATGCAACTTGGTCCAGCATGGTTTTTTTGTTTTCATGTCAGAAGCGAATTGAGAAACTGCAAGTCATTTCTGGTGTGAGAGAATTGGCAGTCTGCAAGAACATTGCTCAGGGAATGCCTGGATGTTTTACCATCCTGTGGGAGGCTTCTATCATGCTCCCACATGAGAAGCTGCAGCTGACAGATGGCAGCTCGCAAATTTGAACCACCAACCGTCAGGTCAGCAGTTCAGCCGGCACAAGGGTTTGACCTAGTGCGCCACCATGGCTACAATGCCAGAATGGTATAATGGTTAAAAGCAGTGGCTCTGAACCAGATACTTTGGCCTTTAACTCCCAGAAATCTTAACCGCTGGTAAACTGGATGGGATTTCTGGGAGTTGTAGGCCAAAACACCTGGGGACCCACAGGTTGAGAACCACTAGGTTAAAAGTGTTCGACTCTGAGAGACCAGGATTTGAATTGCATTCAGCCATGGAATCCAATTAGGTGACATTGGGCAAATTACATACTCTCTGCCTCAAGAAAGGCAAATTCCTTCTAAAATGTCCTGCCAAAAACCCCAGTGATAGGTTTACATTGGGTCTGCCATAAGACAGAAGTGACCTGAAGAAACACAACATCAACAATACAATTTTATTTAGACATAGATTTCACAAGGAAGCATATAACAATGCAACAGGGTAAAGATCATGGAGAATGATGCAACATAAATAACATGGCCAAGTTAATGCATTGTTATGCACTACAGTCCAGCGTGAACCTGCTGAAAAATCTGACTGAAATTGCCTTAGCAGAATCTTACATGCTATTCCAAGAGAAGACAGGAATAGTATGCTAGTAGTTTCCAAATAATGAAGCAACATTGCTTTAGGAATAACATTCAGCCTACGTCAGGGTACTAAGCAGCAACAGTGCACCATCACTACTGCACTACTGGATAATTACCATCCAAGGGAGGACTATAAGCACTCATCTCTGCTTCCCTCTCAACAGTATACCATAGTTCAGACATAGTAGGATGTTTTGGACATATGCTATTTACTTAGACCAGTCCTCTGGTGTAAAGATACATATTGTCCATCTCTCCATTAAGGGGACGGAGGAAAACAATGCTTCATTTTTTTCTTTTTCTTTTTCCTACTACTTCTGTGCTTCACATCACAGCTCTTCACTCACTCCAATTCATGCTCAAAGATAAACATGTTTTGGGAACAGTGCAAGATGAAAAGCACCGGGCAAGTACAGGTGAGCCTGACTGCTTCTCCATTCAAATCTATTTGCTTCTGAATTAAAATTGCTTCTTCCCCATTTGCTTTTGTCCCATATGCAAGCCCATGATGGACCATTCTGCCCTACAGAACCCTCTCTTTTATTTCAACAGTTGCTTCAAGCCTAGAGCCATAAAAGGACCATATTTATGGCAGCAACATGCACTGAAATGTAGGTTAATTAGTATGTTGTGTGGTTCACTGAGCAGCCAAAGAGAATTGATTTGTGACTGAGCTTCTGTGATTGACATCTTCCCCATTTCAAACTTTCGTTATAAATGATGTGTCAGGGAACATTTGCCGGTGATGGATGTCAAGCACTATGCGTGCTTACCACTTCTAGCTGCTCATTAATTAAATATTGGTCTTCTTGAATGTTAGCTACAGTGTCAAATAACAGACAGGATGCATGCATGATGAAAAGGACTTCAAAAAAGCAAATCATTAAAAGTCATGATAGCAGGATAAGCCCTTTGCTGCTTATTAATATTTGGAGGGCACAGTAAACAGCTTTGATTTTGGCTTTCAAGTGGAAGTGTCATGTTTAGGTCAATGTAGATGAGCTGGATACAGATGTTATTTCCTTTACTGTTTTGATTGGGTTTTTTAAAAAAGCAGAAATTGATTCCATCATGACTCCATTCCATCTATTTGGATTGATGGTTGGTTTTGCTGATATAGAATTTAATTCTAACCCATCAAGACAACTGGGACCTAGCCGAGCCAATATTAGGCTACAAAAAAATGGTGTTGAATCTAAAACCCTCCCAGTTTAAAAATTCTGTAAATTACCTTTGTAAATTACCCAGCTTTTTGTTGACATAATGGTTGTGTCATTGGGCTGGAGGAAGTTTGGTTTGGCATAATCTGGATCCTTCCTTTTTTCTAATTCCTCTTTAGCTCTTCTCTAATCTGACCAACAGACTGGTTGAGGCAAATGCTTCCATGTCAGAAGAAGAGGATTATCCCAGCAGAAGGACAGTTTGGCTGGCAAGGGCTGCTGACTATGGCTACATCCCAAACATGCTTGAACTGAGATTGCATTGATACTTAGGAATGTAGACCATACACTGTTGTGCATATCTGCATGTATTGTTGTTAATTGTTATTGTTTTTATACGGTTTATACTATATGTAATTGTTTTCAACTGTAGTTTATCTTGTGGGCATTGATTGCCAAATGTAAACCGCCTCGAGTCACCTCCAGGCTGAGAGGGGCGGTATACAAGTATGGTAAATAAATAAATAAAGAGCCTTCAAGTTGCCTGTCAACTTATTGCTTATGATGGGAATATTCAGAGGCAGTTTGCCATTGCCTTCCTCTGAGTGTGGTTTACGGGATCTGATATTACCCGGCAGTCTCCCTTACATGTGCTAACTAGGCCTGCTCTTGCTTAGCTTCCAAGTTCAGACAGGATCTGTTGCCTGCAGGACATTTAGATAATGCCTTTTGTCAAACAGAATCTTAGAACTGGAAGGTGCCAAAATGGCCATCTAGCTCACCCCACTGCCATGAAGGAATACACATATATACGATTTCCAGAAGATGTCCATCCAACCTTTGCTTAAAGACTTCCAAAGAAGGAGAGTCTATAACTCTAAAAGGCTGTCTATTCTACTATCAAACTGTTTTTTCAGTAAAGAGGCTCTTCCTAATGTTTAGGAATCCGTTGCTCCATGTTCTGTTTTCCAGAGCAGCAGAAAACAAGTTCACTCCATCTTCTACATGTCATCCATTCAGGTATTTAAGAATGTCTAACATGTCATCTCTTACTCTTCTCATCTCTAGGATAAGCATATTCTACTTCAGTCTAAGTCATTCCTCTTAAAGCTTGGTTTCCAGACCTTTGCTCATTATGCCTTTCTCTGCACACATTCCAGTTTGTCAATATCCTTCTTCAACTGGGGTATCCAGAACTAGACACAATATTCCAGGTAAGGCCTGACCAAAGCAGAATGGAGTGGCACTACTACTTCTCTTGATATGAGCACTATGCTTTTATTCGTGTAGCCTAGAATAACATTAGTTTTTTGGGCTGCTGTAAATACAAAAGTATACTTCTAGAAAACATAGAGGAGTCTGGTTTTTGTTGATTTTATTGGCACTCAGAACACCTGCAACAAGGACAAAACTGATCTGAGGGCCTGAGGTGGTGTTGTGTGTCGACTGACCAATTATCTGACGTGACAGCTAGAAAGACTCACACAGCGCTTCCATATCAATAGCAACAACAACAAGAATAATAAACAGCTTCTGCCCTCAAGCTTAAATACAGGGAAAGAAAAAAATGGTGATGAAAGGGGGGAAAAGAAATTCAAATTTGCCATGTTTTCTCATATGCCGAGCAGTGATATGTTGGCATTAGTAAATTATCGAGAGCTGGCAGAAAAACAGTCTGTTTTCACTTGCAATATTTGTCACTTGTTTATTGGCTTTTTGCCCCTTTCTCAGTCATGGGCTGTTTCAGGTAGTACAGAATAGACTGAGAGTCAGGTTGCAGTATGGCCAATGCCCTTGCTGGAGATTTGGGGAGCTATAGCCCCAAAAGCAATGTTTCCAAGTTTTCAACTTAGTCCCCTGGAATGTAGATGCTCCAAAAAAGGTTGCTTCAATTGTTTCTACAATGGAGCTGACATTCTTCACGGGAACACTAGACAACATGTCCTCACACTGAAACTAAAAAATTCAGGAAACGTAGTACATTTTAACAAGGAAAGTCTGTTTTCTCGGATGTATTAAAAGATCAGAACTCTAGCTCAGCTCTGATGTGTTGTCAAAGCAAGAGCCCTGTAAAATTTTAATATCCTGTTTCAGAAAATTGCAAAAAAAGGAGACTAAGGAGAAAGACTTAACATGAAAACAGCAACTTGTTAAAGAAATAGTTCTCGCTCAGAATTCCTGGCAATTCGCTGTATGAAGAAATTAAAAAAAATATATGGGTGTTCCTCCCTTTTCATTTCATTAGCTCAGTCATGGGACAAAAAATAAATTTCGGATGTAAAAAGATCAATGTTTCTAAACATATACATCTACCTTATGCTCATATGAGATATGAGAGAAGACCAGTAGCACTTTCCTGCAAACAGACCCCATTCACGGTGTTTCTAATAATGGAGGTAATTAGAAACAGGGCAAACAGCCCAAAAACACACACAGCAACCCAGACCCCATTCACAGTGTTTCTAATACTGGAGGAAATACAGAGCCACAACAATTAGTTAGGATTGATGCTCTTGAACCTCCCTTTTCAGCCACCCTAAGTCAGTTGACATCTTATACCCTAGTAAGAACAATGTCAATGGCTTACAAACACTCTTTCTTAGGAATCATTCCATATGCATTTCATCTATGAATTGTTACTGCACTTCTATTGCTAAAACTGCTGAGCCTAAGCTAATTTTGCTATTCATTCCACAAGTAGAGATTGAAGGTATGTGTAAAGCAGCATTACTCATGATTTCTTATCTTTCACACTTCTGAAAATTGCCCCAATAAAACATTGTATTCCTAACATAGTAAGATACTAGCAACATGAAGCTTTCTGTGTGAGAGGCTTTTTGGTTTAAGAAATTGCTTATTTTATTCTCATAGGCTGCTCTTCTACAGACAGTTTGGTAGAATAAAAGCCAGAATCTTGCATTGCCTTTATGTATGCATAAGCACTGCAGGTGATGCTACACAACGATTTATTTATTTATTTATTTATTTAAAACATTTATATTCCACCCTTCTCACCCCGAAGGGGACTCAGGGCGGAGCACAGTATATACACGGCAAACATTCAGCGCCGGGACAAGAATTTATATACACATACATAAAACATTAAACACATTTATGTCAACATTAAAACACACCATTTAAAACAGTCTTGGTCATCTGCGTCTAATCTAATTGGCCTTGTAATCTTTCCTATTGCTGCTTTATAGCCCTGTCCTGAAAACTTGGTCCCACAGCCAAGTTTTTACCATCCTTCTGAAGGACAGGAGGGAGGGGGCCAATCTGATCTCACCAGGAAGGGAGTTCCATAGCCAGGGGGTAATCACCGAGAAGGCCCTGTCTCTCATCCCTACCAATCATGAATTATAGCATAAGCCAACCATCTTCACTAGGCTGGTTGAATTTCACAGTTCCTACATGGGGATCATAGTTTCTATTTCGGAAACCATGAATATGTTGCTGCCATGAATGTGCAACAGCAGGTTGTATTCATAACTGTGATGATGATCATAATAATAATAATAATAATAATAATAATAATAATAATAATAATAATAATAATAATAAATATTAATAATAATAAATCACATAGTCCTAAATGCTTGGAAAGTTTTTGACTTGTGATTCTGTGATACGAAATCCAGCATATATATATCTCATTTGCTGTATCATACTGTATTTTTGTGTCAGTAAAATAATAATAATGACTTTATTCTTATATCTTGCCTCCATCTCCCCGATGGGACCCGAGGCAGCTTATATGGGAACCAAGCCCAATATAAACAAGGTTGCAAAATAACACAATTAAAACATATGACAATCAACTGTATTAAAACAATAAAACCAATACAATAAAATCAATAAAACCTAAGACATCATAAAACATAACCAAGCAACAATCAACCAACAGCTGAGAAAAGTGGGCATATGCAGATTTGAGACTAATAGGGCAGTACAGGGCATTGTGAACTGTAAGGCCGAGGGCTGGGAATAAAGTGCTGGAGATGCTACCAATAGATTAGGGCTGGGCAGACATGATCAGTAGCTGAACCATTATTCAAAAGCACATTGGAACATCCAAGTCAAAAGGCGGACAAAGTAGGGGCTAATCTAATCTCCCTAGGGAGAGAGTTCCAGAGCCAGGGGGCCACCACTGAGAAGGAGCTCTCTCTCATCCACACCAAATGTGCCTATGATGGAGGTGGAAGCAAGAGAAGGGCCTCCCCAGAAGATCTTAGTGCTCGCGTCAGTTCACAGAGGGAGATACGTTTCTTTAGGATTCGGGCTAAAGAAACGAAGACAGACCAATCCTTCTCTGGAGGTTTGTAAGAAGAGGCTGGATGGCCATCTGTTGGGAGTGCTTTGAGTGTGTGTTTCCACAAGCAGAGAACTGGACTTTTGATGTCTTCCAACTCTAGGATTCTATGATTCAATCCGATACACTTTTTTTCAAGAATAAATACCATTCACTTTGGTAAGACATATTGCTCAGAAGGTGGGTATAAGATTGCAGCCTCACCTGAATTTGGCATATTCTTGTGGTCTCTTCTTCCACGTACAGTTCTGTAGTTTCCCAACTATCTGCAAATAATAGTCTTCAGAATACCTAAAAAAGATTAAAACATTAGAAGCAGTCTACTTAACTTTTTTATTCAGTGTATGTGTGTGACACAGGTAATCTTTTGCCTGCAAAAAGAGAAGGAGGCATATTCCTGGTGGATTTACTTGACCGGCTAGGTCTTCGGAAACATTTAAGGACAACCTAAATAATACATATAGCATGTTAATGAGGTACTCCCCCAAATGGTGGAAGGTGTCTGCCATGACACATGATTGTCTTCATTTATGAATCTTGCATTTTTGCATGCTTTGTGTTATAATTGGTCACTGGAACGGAGATTTCCAGATATGATTGCTAATGCCTGAACTACAAGTTAATTATATGGAATATGCACAATTCATTCCACATTATCCATACTTACTATAGTAATTTCAGATACAGTAAAGTTTTAGTTCACTTTTAGCTTTAATTGTTAAATGATCCTTCCCTGTTTGTAACTAAAGCAAGGCTGCCATGTCTTATTTCATAGACAGCCTCGTATCTGAAGCGCTGCTATAGAATAGCCCACCATTTCAGTGCCTTCCAAGCTGGGTCTCTAGAGGATGCTAAACCTCAACGTCAAGAAGCCCTAGCCAGCATATGTAACTGTCAGAGATTCTGAAAGCTACAATCCAACAATATCAGGAAGTCACTAATCTATTGGAAAGCATCCTCTTAGCATTTGACAGCAGGTTGAGCAAGCACACAAGATGCCAAGTTGGAGTCTTCCTTTCTGTAGCTAGAAGTCTTACATATAAATTACAGCAATTATTTTTATATTTGCATGCATAAATATAAATTAGAATCTGCAAGCCCCATGTGTCCTCTTCTGTTGGTGATCTGGAAATGGCCACTTTTAACCAAAGTCAAACTCTGGTCAACACCAGAAAAGAAAGCTCTCCCAGATGTCATTCACCACTCAGTCACTTAAGAAATATCGCCGCCTTTTCTGTTGATTCTTGAGATAAAGCTTCTGATTGACAGTAAAATGGAGCCAATGCCTCCCCCTCATGTGCTTTTTAAAGAAAGCCAAACCTTTTATCAGATTATTTTAAGAATAAGTAGGAATCTCCTTTGATACGTTTGACAGGCACACAGAGACAGTGTAAAGTGACAACTCTGATTAGCAGACACTGTATTGCAATTGTTCCCTGACTTCAGTCCTCATATGTTATTAGAGGACAACTCCTCACATTCCTGACTATTATCCCTGATGGCCATCGCTTTCTGAAGTGCAAGTCAAACAACATTTGAGAACCCAATACATACTTTAAAAAAGGGAGTGTTTATTATCATTCTCTCTTCCTTCTTGTGAATTCACAATGAATGTTGTTGATGGACCAAATCACGCATGGGACCTGGAATAAGGAAGGCTGTAGAAGACTCAAGCTCTGCACAAGACTAGGTTGGGAACTGACCCACACACGAAAAATTATAAGGCAAAATCAAACTACTGAAAAATTATCAATCAGATGTGTACTAAATTATCAAGTACTAAAAAATATTAAGGTAGTGATTGTTACTGAGCTCTCTCAAGTAATAAAGGCTGCGTGCTATCTATCACATGCAAGCTAACATAGGAGCAAGCTACACTGGTCAACAAGGAGGGGACTTAAGCTCACATTGCTCTTGTACTTATATTTGTATATCAGCATGTCTGAATGACAACTGGTAAAGTCATAAGTAAAGACATTTTCTTTTTCCCTGCAAGAACCTGTGAACAGGTAAAATGAAAAACAAATTGTCAACCCACATTAAAAGAGTTCCTGGATGTATAAAATCAAGGGCAAGAAAACAAAAGCCCTTCAGATGCTTTCAAGAGTTCCAGCCATTGCTCAATGTACCAGGGGTTCCAGTCCAAAACACCAAGAGGACTAAAAAGTCCCCACATCTGGCCCAGATAAATTCAGTAAGGCAAATATCTTCTGGTGTATTTCTAGTCGAAGCTAAATTCTCCATAGTGGAGCACGCTCATCCCTTGATCCTTAGGTTCACCCCAGTTCTATCACCACATCTTTGACCTCTTTCTATACATACATTCCCCTTTTCAATATATGCCAGTCTTCTTCAACTTGCTGCTTTCCAAACAGTGCTGGACTATTTATCTGGATGACTGACTAACTGATTGATTAATTAATTAATTATTAACACCCTGCTTTTCTCTAACCAGGTGGCAGGTTCGAAACCGGGGAGAGTGCGGATGAGCTCCCTGTCAGCTCCAGCTCCCCATGCGGGAACATGAGAGAAGCCTCCCGCAAGGATGGTAAAACATCAAATCATCCAGGCGTCCCCTGGGCAACGTCTTTGCAGATGGCCAATTCTCTCACACCAGAAGTGACTTGCAGTTTTTCAAATCATTCCTGACACGAATGAATGAATGAATGAATGAATGAATGAATGAATGAATTTTACTGTTTTATATTTTAAATTATATTTGACCAGGCTTGTCTCCATGTAAGCCACCACAAGTCCCTTCGGGGAGATGGTGGCAGGATACAAAAATAAAGGTGTTGTTATCATCATCAGCAGCAGCAGCCTGCTATGGAAAGTTAGCCAAAACAGCTACTACATATACTGGTTGGATGAAAAGTTACTAAATTAGAGCACACATGTCCTGTGTTCATGACCCCCTATTCTTTTCAGATATTGATATGTCACGACATGGAAAAGAAATTCTTTTTTTTTTATAAAGTTGTATCTTTGATTCATCAGCATGGCTTCCTAATTTTTCTAGACTTATTAGGGGAAGAAATTGCCCTTCATTCAAACGTTAGTTGGGTGGTGAATTTATTCCATGATTCAGTCTAAATTTTAAAGGTGGTGTTCCTCCTGTTGATAGGGTTCAGCACTTTGGATAGCTCCTTGAAAATTCAGACTAAAGCCCAGAATGGTTCACAATCTTACTGACATGCTGTGACAGAAAGAACTCTACCCATATTCGTGCCAAGGAAAAGCTCTATGTTGTTGAACCACACTTTTAAACTTTAATGATATTTTGAGAAACAACCTTTTGTGAAAGCAACATTTATCAGTTCACTTCCTTGTATTTTCCTGTCTTTCTTTATTTCTTGGACTCTTTCAAAAATGCCTGTCTTGGTTTTTTTTAGAGGCTGGTGGTGTTTGGTATTTTTGTAAAATGGACATTCAACTGCCATGAGGTTTTTAAGCAGAACACCACATTTGTAGGTAACAAAACACTGCAAAAACTACAAATGTCCACATATGAACTTTTTTGCAGTTTTACAAATCATATTTCAGATTTCATTCAGATTTGAAAAAAAGTGTTTATGCTATGTACAATCCATAAAAGACTCTTACGGTGCAACCATATACTTGTCACTGCAGAATTAGTGCAAGTTGAATTCAATGGGCCAAATAGTGTACTGTTGGAATGGACAATAAGGGCCATCAGTCTAACCCCCTTCAATGAAGGAATAGACAGCTAATGCATTCCAAGGAGATGGCCATCCAACCTCTGATTAAAAACCTCCAATGAAGAAAGTATTACCATTTTCCAATGCAATCTAATTTACTGTCAAACAGGAATTTCTTCGTAATGTTTGGGTTGAATCTCTTCTCTTGTGATTTTAATCCACTGGTTTGCATCCCAATCTCTGGAGAAGCAGAAAACAAGCTTGCTCCATCTTCTACATGGCATCCCTTCAGATATTTAAAGATATGTATTACGTCACCTCTCTGGCTCCTCTTCTCTAAGCTAAACACTCCCTAGGCTGTTCTCAATCCAAACACTATATTCCTGTTGGTACATTCTTTTTTGGGGCACTGCATCACACTGTTGACATATGTTCAGTTTGTTGACTACTAAGACCCCTCATCTTTTTCACACATACTGCTGTCAAGCTAGGTGTCAACCATCCTATATTTATGCATTTCATTTTCCCTGCCTAAATGTTTTATCTTACCATTCTCCCTGATGAAATTGATTTTGTTAGTTTTGGCCCACCTCTTCAGCCTCTTAAAGTCATATTAAATCTTGATTCTATCCTCTAGGGTAGTAGTTGTGCCTCCTAATTTGCTGCCATTTAGATAACATTACTGGGTCAGCAAGAAAACACTGATCTACCGCACCAGTATAACAAATAATAATTGGTGAACACTCTTTGGATTTGGTACCTCAAACAGCTTACAAACAGAAACCTAATTTTCTTTCAAATGTATAAGACCTAGAAATAGCATAGAAGGAAAGAAGCGAATGGCTGATCACTATTCATTGTATCTCCTCCCTAAGATCTGCAAGTTCTTGGACTTGGATTCAGACTTACACATATTTACAGGACACAAGTTTTTGTGCGTGTCAGGAGTGACTTGAGAAACTGCAAGATGCTTCTGGTGTGAGAGAATTGACCTTATGCAAGGACGTTGCCCAGGGGATGCCCGGATGTTTGATGTTTTACCATCCTTGTGGGAGGCTCTCTCATGTCCCCGCATGGAGAGCTGGAGCTGACAGAGGGAGCTCAACCTACTCACTCCAGATTCGAACTGCTGACCAACAGGTTCTATGATAACTCATAATTTTGGCCCTGGAACCTGCACTTGACTTTTACATGAAGTCAACTTGTACATGGGCATATATGGTAAGTCATTTGTTCTTACAATAACTATTTCAGTGTCATGAACCTCAGCAGAAGATAGACTTAGAGGCACTTTCAAAGTAGAAAACTTTCTTTAAAAGCTCATCATCTCAACATAGCTGATTTTACTAAGCTACCACTTACATTAAAAGTATGGTAATATTCGTGTCAGACTATAGTTCAGCCAAGCAGAAGAAATACATTAAGGGGCTGTGGGGGAAATTGCTGAACAGTTTCTTCTTTTGGTGTTGAATATTATCATACACTACAAAATAGTTTTACTTAGAAGACAGGCGCCTAAGGGAGGCAATCTCTATAAATTAAGAGGAAAGGCTTTAAAGCTGATACAACAGAGGGAGAGGGAGGGAGGGAGAGACAAAAGTGACTTGGGGCAATTCTGCCATCTAGGGGAAA